GTATTTGCATTCCGATCAACACTGCGATCACCATTTCGTCGGCAAATGTATCTTAAATGCCATAATTTTATGGAAAATTTTACAATATTTGCTGATTGATGTTTATGTTCTTTAGATAACCCAATTAATACGATAAATTTATGTACAGCTGTTTGGCTACGATTTAATTCTAATTTTTGTATTATAATACCAAAGATTAATGCAGTTGAAAATACACCAGATAGACCAATTAATATAACAATAACTGAAGAACAAGAACAGAAGAAGAACGAGAAACCTGTCTGTTATATAAAAAAGTGTTAAAAGAACTATTTACCTCTCCCACAATGTGTTTGGGGTGTAATGTCACCGTAACCTAAAATAAGAAAGAGTAAACCAGAATAGTGCTAAAAAAGAAGCGGCAGGTAGCTAGACCTAATAGCTCAAAAGACAGTGACAGAGCTCGACTTGTGATTGTTTTGGTCAACAGAAAGTTTTAATTAAGTTTTCTTGAGCAAAATAAATTGTTTTTCGACAAATTTAAGGTGCCAGAAATTCAAAATTGAAGTGGGTTTTATTTTTTCGATATTTATGTGGTTATGTCACTTAGCGTAGCCGTGAAATCGCATGGAACATATGTAATCGATCACGCTGAACCCAGTGATTAGGGGGTGACACGTACCCGTTACTGTACTCTGAAAAGTAATGAAAATTCGTTACCTGTTACCGGTAACGGAAAATGGAAATTTGTTACCAGTTACTAGTAACCGATAAAGGGATCCGAGAATACCTCCGGAATACCTCATATAATAATTTGAGGTATAAATATAAGGGAATGATGCGGAGCTCGATATAGATAGAAGTCACTAAATACTGGGTGTCATAGTCCGTCTCCAATGATAGATGTCGTTAGGGACCTCAGCCGGCGGCTATTTTCGTATTGATTGTGGCGCCATCTGTATATGGTACCTATGGTTACCTGTTACTAGTAGCAGCAAGTAATGGGGAACGGATTTCCATTACCCGTTACCGGTACACAGTGGGCATTTAGGCGGCATTTTCTGAAAAAATCGTAGGTACGAAATTTTCTGTTTTGAATAGCGGTATATATAGTGTAAACAATGCCCTATTTAACA